GAAGCGGAACAAGGGGCGTTTCCAGTGAACTATTTCGGCTCCGGAGGGATCTGAAACGGGCGCATCACACTCGTGGGAGGAGCTTCTCCTACCTTCTTGACCTTTCCAGCGGCAGTCTCGAACGAAGCGATTTACAGCGCGCGTCCCTGGTTTTGAGAGAGTACGTCAGCAGTGCCGGATTAAGGCATTTGGGGGCCCTGGGCTGAGGCTGTTATGAGGCCTCTAGCTATGACAATGGTGGTGGTGGTGATGATGGTGGTGGTGGAGGTAACGATGACGACGGGAATATGTATATTTTTCAACCTGTTAAATCTAGGTATGTTTCATCGTATGATTATTGTCGAGCCTTGTTCAGATCCGTAGATTCAATGGAATTCAAGTTTTCCTTGCTGGCATTGAGGCGGATGCGATTGTTTAGAAGCTACTTCGCAAATAATCAACCGCTCTAGCAATTTACATTACAGTAATTTTGAGGTACAAAAATGAAATCAAATAAAAGTTCCGGTAAATATTAGGATTTGTCGTTCACAACCAGCAACTTAACCACAAAAAAAACAACAAAAAAACGCTAAATTGTTTTTTTTTTTTAATGTTGACTCCGTTCATGAATTTGTTAACTAGAATTAGAATTAGAGCTAGATTTATAGAGCAGATGCCCGGGCCAGTTTATACAAATTGGTCACGATGTCGACTTGTAGCACAGGTGACCCTCTTGCTAACGTGTCGAGTGACACCATTAATCATACATGAATCGAGTTATGCAGCGACCGAAAAGGTACCTGCAAAATTCCCTTTCTAATTTCGCTTCCCCTAAATGGCATGCCTCGCAAATCGACAACTGCCACGAAAATCTAGAGCCCTTATTTTTGTAATTGTTCCAAATTATTGGAAGTGTTTTAACTTCTAACTAGACCTCTGTTTATTAATTACTGGTGTGAACAGTCAAGGAAGTGACATAGGCAAGAAAGAAATTTCGTTGGTTGAAGCAGTCTATCGGGAACAAACTACTTGGTAAACGCTCTTCTAATAACTGAACCCTCGTTTCGCAAACAAACACAGACATAGACCGCTGTCGTTCGGGCACATTTGCATTTAAAGAATTTATCATGAGAATCGAGAAGATGTTTTCTTTTTGTATCTACACGCTGTCTTTTTGAATGGGGAAAATGTTTCGCATCAGATTTAGTACTAATCTTGTTCTTTTCAAATGTTCTTTCAATTTAGACCTCGGCGACCATTTTGTTCTGTGACTCAACGTTAAAAAATAAGAGGTTATACCTCAGAGGTTGGTGATACCCATGGGCGTACCAACCGGGGGGGGGGGGGGGGGGGGGGGGGGGGGGGAGGGGGACGCTTGCTTCCCCCCCCTCCCCCCCAGCTCTCAGAGTGGGGGGCAAGGCATGTGTTTTGCCCCCCCCCCCCCCCTGAAACGGCCGCCACTGGGCAGGGCAAACACTGGCCGGCAGCGCCCAAGGAATACCAAGTTCACCGCCCCCCGACCCGCACGGGCATATTTTTAACGCGCTCACGCCGGATTGGCTGGTTCGTGGAGATAGGCGCTGCCGCCGTGAACATAGGCAGCGGATACAATGCGAGTTCCCGAAGCGGTAGCGTAACTTAGTGGTAAGATGTCTGCCTCATACGTATCAGACCTGGGTTCTATCCATGGTGTGGGCTTACTTATTTTATTTTTTTCCCTCGAACATCTTGTTTTGTCGAGGCATTTGGCGATATTACGACATTTGTTTTTTACAATTAACACTGAGAAAAACGAATGTCGACGAAACGTCGCTGAACTAAATCGTATGGGACTCTATGGAAGTGCGTGGGGGACAGCGGGGCTCGGGTTGTCGACTGGACGCCGCAAAGAGTACGGGGGAGGGGGGGGGGGGGGGGGGGCTAAGTGGGTTAATAGTTTTGTAATTAGCAGCCACGCACTGGTCGCCGCGAAGCTGAGTGAACGCAGGCGCGGGGGTGGGTTAACGCGCTTCGAGTGATACACGCGCCGTCCGAATCCGAAATTTAAGTTCCCGCGCGTTGCCGAGCAGCCAATCCGGCGTGAGCCTCGTTGCCAGGCTGTCTATCGCCTCCGCCGTAAAAGGAGCCAGTGACCAAAGCGCCCGGTGCGTATAGACCAGGGGTGGCCAGGCTGACCCGGCCTAACAGCCGCAAACGAAACCACAAAACTTCCAAGAGCCGCGGTGGGGGGGGGGGGGGGGGGGGGGGGGGGGGGACCATTTTAAATTTTGTTTAGAGTCTGACTGTACGTATGAGTGCACAAGTCTGTACGATAGTGCAGCCTTGTGCACTTATACGTAATAAAGTAGCCAAACCGAGGGCCATACTTTATACTGCCTGAAACCCCTTCTTTTTTTCCTGGGGAAACGCGGAAAGGGGCCGAGGGGGGGGGGGGGGGGGGGGGCCTTACGAGGGATCCGCGAGCCGCACTTGGACCAGCAAAGAGCCGCATGCGGCTCGCGAGCCGCGGTTTGGCCACCCCTGGTATAGACCTTTCCAGCGGCAGTCTCGAACGAAGCGATTTACAGCGCGTGTCCCTGGTTTTGAGAGTGTACGTCAGTGTTGCCCCACTGCGCTGAGCTGTGGAGTTTCCCGTCAATGGGCTGTGGCAGCCTGCGTTGGCGCAATTCCGGACGCTGGTGGCGGCTGAATTGCCGCGTTTTCTTTTTTATCTTGTGTTCTGTGACGAGCATAATTTATAGAGGTCTTTAGGAAAGCAGTGCTCTATTTTTGGGAACAAAAACAAAGAAATGAAAGCTGTTTTGGTGAGTCCGTGCGCGACAGAACAAATGCAACTGGAATGTTTGTTTCATTTTATGTTCATTGTTTTACGGCACCGTACACTCAGCCGTCTCAATCTATAAAGGTCAACATATTTCACCACACAGGATATTCGTATTGCATGGATATTTCCCGCCCACAACATGAAATTCAATGAGTCATCAATCGAACAAAAAATATATTGTACGTACCCCTCGGTGCCACGTTATCCGAACAGGATTTGAGAAAGGTCTCAAATAACACAGCATATCCAATATACAGTGTCGACGATAGTCACTTCAAGACGATCGGACGGAATCCGGCGTGTTTTGGGGAACATGTAGAAGAGAGCTCCTTTTTTGCACAGCTTCATTAGCCCCGAGAAGTTCGCGTGGCGCCCCCTTACGGCAAACCGGGGTGACGTCACGGCGAGGAGAGAATTTTTCCCCGACTCGCACCGCTCGCCCTGTGGAGGCTGTGACGACGCTAGCTGTCGGCGCGCTCCTTTCTATTTCATTTTTTTTGTGTGTTTTTCGTAGGAAGTGTAAATTTTTATATGTGCCTTTATTGAGGTATGGCCTGTAGCTACAGGCGAAACTTCGACCAACATTTTAAGCATGGTTGACAGGGCAGGCAACGCATGAACCGGAGCTGGTATATGAAAATAAAGAACTACGGCCACAACTGTAGGAGCATCACTATGGATTTACATCTCGCACAATAAATGCTGCTGATGGTCTGAATGAATCGGCAGGTTATGTATACTATTTTTTTTTTGTATCTCTGTCTTTAAACAAGATCGCCGAAGCAGAAAAGCTGCATGCTGCTCGAGCAACATGCTAAATACAGTCTGGGCCATGGGGAGAGAATCACAAGTAAGACAGCCCAAGTGTAGGGGCAAAGTAAAAAAGCAAGGAACATTTATTATATACATTGCTCGCATTTGACCTTTGCTGGATTCGGATAGTATTTCAATGGACTACACGGGTGGTATCTGTGCATTTGTTTATATCAACCCTCAAGTAATGTATAACAAACGTAAGCGAAGGTGTCTAGATCGTTATTAGTCCCTTAAGCCCTAAAATTGAGATTTTACTTAAATCGAATTGTCCTGAAGCTAAAATACCAGAAACTTTTTTTCACGCAGACTGTCGCCCTTCACAGGATCCACATTTTCTGCTACTAGTGCTGCATCCACCACTGGACAAACGTTCGAATGCTTGCTTTTACTCCTGTTTTCCTCTGTTGTCAGAGAATCCAACTGTAGGGAGTTTGGAGGCTGAGGAAGCTTTTGGAGACCTGTCGCAGTGTCCCTTTTAATTGGAAATGACAATTCAGACTAAACGGTGTATTTTTCGAATACCCAAGGCTGAAATAAAAATGTCAGGAAAAAGTATAAACATTCCAAATTACGGCACTATTGCTGTGCATATTTTGGGCAGTTCAATATAATATCATACAGGCAACTGGAGGCAATTCGGCCGTCTTTGCTGCTTCCATGCAAACTAATTTTTAATAATTGTGCCATCTTCTAAGAAATAAGCCTGCATACATGTATAAACTATATAATCAATTAACGAAGAAGCTACATTTATGTAAAACAACCCTGTTCCACGAGCACTTCAAAGATAATCAGACACAGGGCCTTTAAAATATCTGCGAACCAGCGCATGCAGAGTGGCAGCGCAAAGTCGGCGTCGCGAGCTAATTTGCCGACCACCCAAAGGCCCATGATATAAATGCCACTTCAAATGCCTTGAAAACGGTATGCAATATCGTCCTAAATAATGAACATGCAAGGAACAGAATTCCAGCGTCTGAAACACTTGCGCCACCGCTTCACCGATCCCTCGCAAAATTTCCTTGTGTCGTGTGGACGGACGGGGAGGTTCATCGGCGGAGTTGCCTCCACCGATAGCTTTTGGGATTTTTAGCCCAATTTTAAAGGTAAAAGGAACAAGCAGGCTTATAAAATGTACGGAAGCACGTTAATATCGGCCTAACTCGACGTCTTGTACGCCGGGTAAACGAGGTCGAGCGCCTCGAAGAGCTTGCGGCACACAATGCATGATGATGGCCGACATTATCGTGACAGTGCCTCTCTACACACTTCCGCAGATCCCGCTGGACCGTCAGACTCCGACCGTATCCGGGGGATTGAGGCATTTGTCTCCGATGCTGTCCCTCGCTACACAGATACCCAATTCAAGGAGCATTTCAGGATGCACCGTTCGACGTTCGAGGTAACCCCATAAGCATATGTTCGGAATATAGTTTTACTTTCATCATTCAGAATTTATTTTTAGGCATTCAGTACAAAAATACAGCGCGGGAGGTCTGGATTTCTGTCTGGCCACTCAGGGGAAAATTTTAATAATGTTTAAGGCGTGATGGGTTTGTGTTCAAATATTAAAATTACATAGCGATGAAGAGTTACGATATATCACGTAGAAAAAATAACCAAACGAGACAAGGGGTGACACAAGCCCATCTTTGAAGGGTGCTTCGCCGTAGCGCAGCCGCGTACTTGAGGGAAAAACACTCCCTCAGAGCGAGATAGCGCACGCGCTCGTCCCTAGTGAGCTAAAAGAAAAATATTTTCTTTGTGGCTATTAAGCGCAAAGCCAAGCAAGCGTTAGCAGTGTTTGAATGCAAGCTGGGGAATTCATCTTTATAAGTTGAGCCCTGTAACCCTTGTTTCCTTTTACAATAAATATTTATCTTCTCACATGGCGATTTTTGCATTTCGTGTAAATCTACTGGTAATAAAAACAGTGGCTGGAGTTTCTAAACAAAAGATAGTTCGTGACAACATTTTTGTCGCGTGACTGTGCTACTAACCCAAACTAAAGAGCCAATTGCGTGTTCTGGGCAATTAGATTATCTGCCCTGCAATTCACACTATTGAGTGCTAGCTTCAATAATGCTAGCACACTCTCTCCTCGTCAGAGTAGAATCAATGAAAATAGGGTATAGGTATATGCCTGCTTTAAAAGTTCTTTCTGCTGCTCCAAAATGGCTCGAGCCAATCACATCATTGTATTTCTTGTTTTCATTGATTTAATGTTCGGTTCACACATTCCAGGTCTTTCTCCAATTGACTGAACCTAACCTAGCCAAGACCATTGGAGTCCGGGTGCCAACAGCCACCAAGGTCCTCATGACGTTGTGGCTCTTAGGAAGTCAGGAATCGTACCGTGGCGTCGCTGACAGGTTTGGTGTTCACAAGAGCACCCTCCACTTTGTGGTCTACGAGATTGTGTTGGTATGGGCACGGTGTGCACCCTCTGTAATACAGTGGCCCACGCAGCTTGCCCAGGTGGCCAGCCAATTCGAACGGAAGTGGAGGCTCCCAGGCGTTGTGGGTGCCGTGGACGGGTGCCATGTTTCTATCAAGGCTCCCAAAGAAGAGCAGTCTGCCTTCTACAACAGGAAGGAGTTCCACTCCGTTGTGCTCCAAGGCTGCTGCGACAGCAGGATGGTGTTTACACACGTGCATGTGGGGTCCCCGGACCGGATGAACGATGCACGCATCCTCACCAATTCTGGCTTAGATGACATTCTTAGCGCCCTTTCCGAGGACCTCCACATCCTCGGTGACTCCGCTTATCCCCTCGGGGTGAACCTGATGCGTCCTTACAAGGACAATGGGCATCTGACGAGGAGACAAAGTAAATTCAACACAACATTAGGTGCCTCGCGGTCAGTGATAGAGCGGGCCTTTGCCCAATTGAAAGGAAAGTATCGACGTCTCAAACACCTGGACATGGACAACCTTAACATGGTTCCCATGTTTGTGATGGCGGCGTGCGTTCTTCGTAATGTCATTCTCACGTCTGCAAAGCCCTTTGTCCTTTGCACGGAGGAACTAGAGGATCCATGCCTGGTGCGCAAACAACCAGACATGACAAGAGCGCCTTCCGCTGCAAAAGCTAAACGCGACGCAATCGCTAGCTTGCTGCACCCTGCATGCACCTGAAGGGTGAAGTTGCCATGTTACAGATCACTGTATGTCTTCAGCTCCTCGGTTCTCAACCTTTAGCAAAATTAAATTGAAAAAATGGGTCAATAATAAGGCAATTGACTAGAACAAATTTTTTGTTACTCGAGTATACTTTTTGGAGAGTTTTACCAATGTTTCCCCCTCCTGCTTTTTCCTGTCTTTTATGCCCTTATTACGATTTATTAGAGCTACATATTCACATTGTTACTCCACAAGTTCTTTTGCAAAAGTTTGGCGAATTAAAATAATACCACCAAATACAGACAAAATAAAATAATTGGGACAAATGAACTGGTGGCTTGCAACCTGTGCCCGTCAATATTATAGTGCCTGAATATAGGTTGTCCCCAGTTAAAACATATTTTAGCAATATTTGTACATGCAGGCAATATACTTCTCCCCATCCTTAGTAACTATTTTAGAATAATGTATCTTGAGCGTACGCTTGGACTTTCCTTTTGGAACTGAGTCACTCAGAACGTCCAATATAACAATAATACTGTGATGCCTGGAACAAGACAGACACAAGTGATACAGCTTTGCACAAAAAGATTCAAACAATGGTATTTATTAAGTTCAAAACCCTTAAAAGTTGACTAGAACTTGTCACAATATAAAAAAATCACAGGCCCGTGGCCGCATCTCAAGAACAGAGAAACATGAATGCAGTGGCATCTGGGATCAGAAAATCATTCATGTAGGGGGAATGTATAGCCAGGACTCTGGTATAGCTTAGAAATTGCACTTGTCCAAAAGCCAAACTGTACTTAATAACATAAGAATGCACTTATATCCCAAACTAAGGTGCCCGCAATCTGACGGAGGCTGCAACAAGAAAAAACAAAACAAAAAAAACAACTATAGTTTTGAGCAAAAAACTGCAGTTTTATTCATAAATTTAAACCACAGGGTCATTTTTTAGCACTACAAATGAAACACTTGGAGTGACTTTCGTGATAGGTGATATTTGCCTAAAGTAATGCTCATTTATTTTCAAAAAAACAACAACTCGCAAAATGACCAGTAAGAACTAAATGAAGTGTACAGACAGCAACCAAAATGTAGCAAAAACTATGAATCTACTTTTTGTTTACTACTGTATTTGTACTTTCCAGCAACTCGAAACACAGACAAGTCTGGCATGCTTCTGCAAAAGAAAACTGTAAAAAGAAACATTAACTGTTACAAACAATATATGCAGCTCTTAAGGTTTAGTACGAAAATGCTTGCTCCAGTTGGCCTGACTAGTAAGGTTAGCATTTTGCTATACTTTCTTTTCATGCCGCAGAACGACACACTAAATGACCATCGCTGTAGAAAAGTGAAATTTAAAGGTGGACTAAAGAGGTTTTTAACTTTTTCTTTTTGTGGCTCTGGTTTCATGTATCTGCTCCAAGGATCCTAGAAATCGAGAAATTTATAGCGTCCTTCTGCATTACACGCATTCAAAGCCAGACTGTCAACAAGAATGGCTCGAGGGAAAAAAGGAGGAGCTAAGAAGAACTAGTGGAGCATTGTGAAGCGCATTTAGTCCAAGCAAAATGACTTTCGAGGTCGCATGAATAAGTGGCAACGGCGACTATGAAAAGATCTTGTCTACAGCTGACTTGCAGGCCCAAGGCATGAACCAAGCGTGTTTCACTTGGTTTCACTAATTCATTTTTGCCCCTTCACCCCTCTGCAGCATTTTTGTCAGATTTCTAACGAATATCTCATTTTTTATATTGAAGTGAAGCACGTGTAACAACAGTTTCTAGATTTTTTGAATCCTTGGAGCACAGAGAATAAATTAGAGCTATAAAATGACGTAAGCACCAACCCCTCGGTGTACCTTTTGTGGTTCTCCTTGGGGCCACTGCCTTTGGGAGTACCACGTTCGCGGCGAGACGCTCTACCGCGAAGCGGGTTCGTGCTCGCGTGGCATGCTGCTCGTTGAGCGCAAACAGACACCAGTCACGTTGGTAACGGTGATAAACTGTTTATTTACAATGAAACAAAATAACAACACAGCGGCTATAAGCTGGTGAACGCCGTCGGTGTGGAGATCGCCCACGGCCGAACGGTCGTTCACAAATGTACAAAGGACGGGGTAAACGCTCACCGGTGCGCCGGAAGGTTCCCCGTTGTCGCCGCCGCCGAATCCCAGGAAGAAGAGAGAAGCGAGACTGCCAGTGCTGTTAAAGGGGTACTCCGCCGTTTTCTTCATAGTCCCCGATTTGCCTAAAAGCTTGCTAGACACACCAACAAACATCGCTGAACTAGTAACCCAAATATTTGGACAAAATAACGTTTTTTCGTGCAGTTACAGAATTTAAAATTCTGGACCTCATCGTGTTTTTCAAAGTGAAAAGCTCTACGGGCAACATTGAAAAAGTGACGTCATGGTTGGGTAGGAGTTCACTCTTTGGGCTGTAGACTTTATTCACATCTGATTACAAACAGTTTCATGGTGTCAAATGAATGCTTTGGAAGGTCGCTCGAGCCCCCGCGCAGCAGCACGATACAAATGCTCGGCATAGTTCATATTTAGACTGCCTGCTCGAACTGCAATCCAGCCCAACCGTGACGTCAGGGCAATGAAAAGCGCGGGTATATTCAAATCTTCGTTTTGGCGTCGTTTTCATTTGCCGATTTCACAAAAACTATTCTGAATTTCGCGATACTAAATAGCATACCGAAAAGAGTAACGGACGGCGATTTCGAATATATGGTTAGTTGGGGTTGCTCAAAATATCGCCGGAGTTCCCCTTTAACTTTTTTTGGACGAAGTCGCCAGGACGCGGCCTAAAAGTCGCCAGTTTTAGCGAAAAGTCGCTGAGTGGTGATGATGATGATGACCTTTTCCGTTTTTTTTTATTTTTTATTTTTTTTTACGAAGGTTTTTGTTAAACATTATTTTAAATCATTTCGCGTGGTGACGAACCAAGTGGACAGTCAGAGTCGCCCGTTCCATTCCCAAGGGGCTCGCCAACACCTTGAGTAACTCAAGGCGTTGGCGAGAAGATCCTGGTCCATGAACAAAACAGCAGAACACTGTTCTGCTTCATCCTTATCGAAAAAAAAAAAAAAAATTTCTCGCCTCAACACGGGCATTTTTTTTTTTTTGGCGTGGTTCACAAAGCATTTTTTTAAACACCTGATAATCCCTGAAAAATAGAGTGGTTTTCAAGGGGTTGGGGGTCGGATAATGCATTCGTTTTTGCGTTAACCGGCGTGAACCAACATCACCTCACCCACAACAGGATGAATAAAAATGAGTGACACCCAGAGCTGTCCCCCAAAAGCCACCGGAGAGCTATCCGACTGACGTATTTTCCCCCCACTACATAGCTTTAGTAACAAAAATTTACATAGCTGGAAAAAAAAAAGTCCCCAAAAAAGTCGCTAAGACTCCAAAAACACAAAATTGTCACTAGGGCGACTGAAAACACTCTAAATTTAGCGACTTTCTCGCTAAGTTAACACCACTGGAGACTGCTGTCCGCTGGTTTTAAGATAACGGCGGGGGCGAAGTGGCCAATCAAGGAGCGACACGTCGATCTCCTTTGTGCGGGGGTTCGTCACGGAAATCGCCCCAAGGGGGAGAGGAGGAAGCCACTCACAGTGGTAAGCAGCGCCACCTCTCGCTACGTCGGCGCGGCCGCCACGGCGTGCCAAAACGCTGACGCGACAGAATGTTGAGGGATCACAATCCCCACACTCCCCCCTCCTTAGCCAATAGTCACCCGCAAACGGGTGGACCAACACAAACACATAAGACTAAAATAATAAAAAACGAAAAAAGAAGGCCGCCAGCTGCTGCAACTACACGGGAAACAGCCCGGTTATACGTTCATGGTCCAAAACTTCGTCCAGCGGTCCCTCACCAGCGGTACAGCTCCCAGCGGTAGTCGGTCGGCTGCGTCAACACGTGACCGCCGCGCACGTAGCGGATCACCTCCTGAGCGCACAAGCCGGGGTAGGGCGTCGAGCCCAAGGTGACGAATGTCCCACGACAGCAGTCCGTTAACGCTCAGACGTCGGACTTGAAGGGCGCCCTCGGACCTTTAGTGGTTGACGTCCGACTCGGAGTCCGTAATGCTCCTGGAGAGGCCGAAGTCGGCGACCTTGTAGCAACCGTGTTCGTCGACGAGCACGTTCCGGGCGGCCAGGTCCCGGTGGGTTGTCCCTCAGCTGCCGATGTAGTGCGTGCCCTACGAACCCTGCTGGGCGAACTGCGCCAGGTCCCGGGGCCCTTGGGACTTGTTACGGGACGAACGGGAACAGCTGGTCCCTGGTCGGCGAGCTTTCCGACCGCGGCGCGGGTCCCGAAGATAATGAGCCGGCTGTCCCTGACCGGATGTCGATCCCGACGGCCCACGAAAACGACGGGTTGCTGGTTTGGCCCGCGGCCGGCTGGGGTAGCGGGGCCACCTGACGAATCACGCGCAGCTCTGGACCCTGGACACCGCTGAACTGCCGTAACCAGGAGACAGCAGCTCACGAGCGGCGCGAAGCAAAGCCTGGAGGTCCTCTTCGTAGGTGCGGAACGTACTGCGGTAGAATGACCACTTGGTCTCCGACCGCTTGTGACGACGCTCGCACCGCGCTCTTGCGTTGACATGTGGCACACGTGAGCGTAGGTGGCAATAACTGACCAATGGCAGTTACGCGTACCCTTTCCCTCGGAAGCCGTGTTTGGGGGATTCCCCTACGGGTTCATCCGGGAGCGAACGCTGAGGTGACGTATCTAGGTCACTGCTTGCCAGTAAACAATGGTGTCTGGCGCGTTCGCGAAGGCAGCAGGTGCATTGTGTGTTGCACTTCCCTTAATGTGACATTTCGCCACTTACAGGGGCTGTCTCTACGAAAACTTCGGATAATAGTTCCTCCGTCTCCGCAGATTGTAGCGAGACGACTGTTGTTCGCTGCTGGCGTCGTCTCGCGCTGCGTGTGCATGTTTCTGCGGGGGCTGAGTTTGCTCGTTGGCCCCGTTT